AGGGTCTGCAGCTCCCACCCCTCTGCAGAATGCCTTCTGTCTGAATGGTGCGTCCAGTCACATCAGAGTGTCACAGAGGCCAGCACACCTGAACACAGCTGGGCTGCCCTGCCCCTTCCTCTGGGCACTCAGCTCGGGTGGGCGGCCTCCGCAGCTTCACTCTGCTGTGTCCCAGTGGGCCTTCCTCCGCTCACCTTTTCTGTTCCTACCACTCCCTGGACAGCATGAAGAACCCCACCGCCCACAAGTCCTTGGGAGCCGACTGAGGGCGTGGACAAGGGTGGGGGAGCAGTTGCCTTGGGCTGGGTCTGGGGTGGAGGGGGTTCCCAGGGAGGCTGCAGGGCCAAGGCTGCAACGCGCTTCCCCTGTACGTTCATGTCCTGGGCCTGACTGACGCCACAGAGTGTCCCTTTGCAGCATTTCAGTCTTGTTTTGTTCATCTGTGGGCTAGAAGCATCTGTTGGTATATCGTGCTTTCTCACAGAGGGTGAGGGTGGTGCAGGGGAGAGTGGTCTGAGTGTTAACCACCGACAGAGCATGCGCACGGGGGGCACGTGACCCTGGGCAGCGAAGTGCAGTAGAGAAAGTGTTAACCACCGACAGAGCATGCGCACGGCGGGGGGGCACGTGACCCTGGGCAGCGAAGTGCAGCAGAGACGTGTGGGTGGTTTGGGGGACTTTTCTCATAATAGGTGATCTTCATTCAGACGCATAAAGAGGTTATGTATCTAGGAATAAATGTGATTTGTCTAGCTCAGTTTCTTCAACATACTCTAATGTGTTAAAAATGTGCAATTTTAGATACTGGTTATAGAGCAAGAGTTAAAATCCTGGTCTCCTTGATTTTTAATTATGGAATACTTCATAGAAAATGTCATTTTGGACATAGAGAAGATTTCAGAGATTAATGTAGATACACTTATGAACCCACCACCCAGCTTTTTATTCCTTTATAAAAGAAAACCCTAATTGAAGACGACATAAACATGGAAAGGTATACTGTGCTCTTGGATTGAAAGAATTGATATTGTTAAAATGGCCGTACTACCCAAGGCAATGTGCAGATAAATCCCAAACTGTCAGTGACATTTTTCATAGAGCTGGAACAAAACCATTTTTAATTTGTATGGAAACACAAAAGACCCCAAATGGCCAAAACAGTCTTGAGAAAGAACAGAGCTGGAGGAATCATACTACAGACTATACTACAGACTATACTACAAAGCTACAGTCATCCACACAGTGTGGTGCTGGCACAAAAGCAGATACACAGGTCAGTGAAGCACAATAAATAGTCCAGAAACAAACGCACGCACTTATGGTCAGTTAATTAATTAACAACAAAGGAGGCAAGAATATACAGTGGAGAAAAGACAGTCTCTTCAACAAGTGGTGCTGGGAAACCTGGACAGTCAGCTAGTAAAAGAATGGAATTAAAACGTTCTCTAACACCATATACAAACATAAACTCAGGGTGGATTAAAGACCTAAATGGAAGATCAGAAACTACAAAAATCCTACAGGAAAACAGGCAGAACACTCCTCAACATAAATGTCAGTGATTTTGTTTTGAGCCAGCTCCTAGAGTAATGGAAGTAAAAGCAAAAGTAAGCAAATGGGACCTAATTGAACTTAAAAGCTTTTGCACAGCAAAGGAAACCATAAGCAAAACGAAAAGACAACATACAGAGTGGGAGAAAATATTTGCAAGTCACATAACCGACAAGGAACTGTTTTCCAAAATACACAACAGCTTATACCGCTTGATGTCGAGAAAACAAACAGCCCAGTCACAAAAAGGACAGAAGACCCAAACAGGCATTTCTCCAGAGAAGACAGTCAGATGGCCAACAGGCACATGAGAAGATGCTCAGTATCGCCAATTTTTAGAGACTGCAAATCAAAACTGCAGTGACGTTACCATCTCACACCAGTCAGAATGGCTGTCATCAAAAAGTCTTCAAACACATGCTGGAGAGGGTGTGGAGAAAGGGGGGCCCTCCTACACTCGTGGTGGTGAAAATGGATGCAGCCACTGTAGAGAACAGTATAGCGGTTCCTTGAAAAACTAAAATAGATTCACCATGTGATCCAGCAATAACACTCCTGGGTGTCCATCTGGAGGGAACTCTGATTTGAAAAGGCATGTGCGGGAGGGTATAGCTCCGTGCTGGAGTGCGTGCTTAACATGCACGGGGTCCTGGGTTCAGTCCCCAGTATCCCTGTTAAAAATAAATAAATAAATAAGCCTAATTACCCCCCAAAAAAAATTGAAAAGGAAAGACACATGCACCCCAGTGTTCACAGCAGCACTGTTTACAACAGCCCAGGCAGGCAGCGAAGCAGCCTCAGCAGATGACTGGATAAAGAAGATGTGGTGTATTTATACAACGGAGTACTACTGCTCAGCAGTAAATAAAATAATGCCATTTGCAGCATGGATGGACTGAGAGATTATCATACTAAATGAAGTAAGATGGAGAAAGACAGGTATATGATATCACTTGTATGTGGAATCTAAAAAATGAATGATACAAATTCCATTTGTAAACCCCAAACAGACTCATGGACATAGAAAACAAGCTATAGTTACCAAAGGGGAAAGGGCGGGGAGGGATAAATTAGGGGTTGAGGATTAACAGACACATGTTACTATGTATAAAATAGATAAACAAGGACCTGCTGCGGAGCACCGGGAACTATATTCAGTTTCTTGTAGTAACATAATGGAAAAGCGTCTGGAGAGACTGTATGTATGTGGCTGAATAGCTCTGCTGTGCACCTGAAACTAACCTTGTAACACAATGACTCTTCAATAAGAAATTTAAAAACAACAGCCCTGGGCACACTGATGAAGCCCCCGGTGTGCCCTTCCCCCGTTTTGTCTTTCCATGTCACTCCCAAATCTTAATTCATTATCCCTCTACCTTCCCAGAGTTGGCTGTTAGGTGGTTTCTGTTTTCACTACAGTGTATGGGGGGGTTGTGTGTGCGTGCGTGCGTGTGTGAATTCCCTCGAGAGGGCGCTTGCTGTGGGTGGGTATCTTGCTGCTCCTGCAGGTGCTGCAGAGTTGCCCGCGCTGTTCAGTTCATCGTCACTGCTGTGTGGTGCTCATTCGGGACTGCTGGTTAGCCCCCCTTGCTGGTGGTGCGAGCGTGTGTTGGCTGGCTGGCACAGCTGCTGGTGACGTGTGTGTCCCCATGGCTCGCTCCTGGAGAACGCTGGCCGGCCAGCACGCTCTCCACGGGGCCGGCCTGCAGCCGTGCCCACCTCTGTGGGCCCTGCAGCCTCCCTCAGAGCCGCCCCACCGCGCCCAGGTGGCGCAGAGGCGGCCAGGGCCAGTGCGCCCCCCGGGGAGGAGCCCCGCCTGTCCCAGAGAGCGGGCGCCCAGCAGTGGGGGGGCGGGGCTGGGAGTCGGCTTCCTTCTTTGTTTCTTCCCAGTAAAGTAATTCTGAGTGTCCGTGCGACAGTTTTTGGACTGAGGATTTTTGCTAACTTTTAAAATTGTGTGATTTGATGCTGATTGGTACCATATGTTTCTCTGCACCGTGCTTTGTTTATTAAAGCAGTTTCATGTTTCCTTGCAGAATAAAAGCCGCCCTCACTCTATGGGAGAATACAAAGTCTACAGTACCTGTCAAAGTCACAGACCAGAGTTTGACTGTTTGAAAAGTCTAGAAATTGAGGGAAAAATTAATAAAATTGGATGGTTACCGCAACAGAATGCTGCTTACTTTCTGCTTTCTGCACATGGTAAGAGGTATTTTTTTCCCCAGTGGCTGTTTGGTTTAGCATTTTATTTTTAACTTTCTGTGTGTAGATCCCTTCTTACTTTAACCCTTCCTGGAAGTTATTTCTGCTTTGAGCTTCAGGGTGGGGGAGGGTGAATGACCTGCTGGGTAGCAGGAGGTAGGTTGAAAGCTCAGCGCATGCACACGCACATCCTCGCAGCACTACGTTTCTGTGTGTTTCTTCGTCTTTACTGACTGCAGAAGACAGTATTTGTAACTGGAAACACTAACGTGCAGATACTCCTGGCCTGGGAACCGACGTGGAACCTCAGAGTTCTTAGCAGAATACTCAGCTGATAGTGGAACATGATGTGGTTTTTCTTTTACTATAGAGAAGGAGGTTTCTGTTTTCAGATAAAACTATTAAATTATGGAAAAGAAGTGAATGGGATAAAAGAGCAGAAGGTCACAACTTGAAGGATGAAGATGGACGACTTCGAGACCCATTCAGAATTACAGCACTCCGGGTACACGCCAGGTTTTCTTTGCGTTGTCGGTGCTTTTCATAAATTAATTAGTAATCACACTCATGTCAGCTGTTTGTAGAATCTGTTAAGTTCAAATACTGTGAAATCTGCCTTCTGATCTGGGAGGTTATTTGCATTTGATGTGTGCTTGTTAATGAAGCCTGAGTCCCCGGATTCTCACAAAAGAGAACGTCAGTCACGTTGCTGTCAGAAGACATGATGATACTAAAAAGACTCAGGCTTAATTCCACAGCAGATCTTTCTAAACGTACCAGCTGCCTTAAAGGTTCAGAGTAGCACGTCGGCAGGGTTGAAGTCCAGACGGGACTCAGATCACTTCTCTGGAGGAAGTAGCATAGGTTGGTTGAAAAAAAGGCAAGTTTGGATGTTTCGGGGTTCCTTGCCTGTCAGGCCAAGAGCATCGTCACTGCCTTTTTGTTAAATTCCTCACTCCCTTTTCGGTGCCCCGACAAACAGATGAGGTGACCAGGTTTTATCCGTTCTAATACCTAGATTTTTTTCACACTTTAACACCTATGAAACTCAGTAAAACTTAAAATCTAGTGTCTTGTAATTGGCCTAGTGTTGCTGTGGTGTCTTTAGTAAAATGAAATACGTGAAGGAGGTTAAACAAGCTTGCACCCTGCCAGATGCGCCGCAGGGACACCAGGAGAGCTGCCCCGCCCAGGCAGGCCAGCCGCAGGTGACCTGCACCAGCGTCACTTCAGAGGTGCTCCCTGAACCAGCTACCTGGTTCACTTGAAAACGGTTGGCTGGTTGGTTGGTTGGTTGGTCAGTGCGGTTTAAAGACTTTGTTAAAGTATTGCTTCTCAAGTGAAGGCCGAGTTGGGAACACATTCTGCGTTGTAGCTGCGGTATTGCAGAGGGGGCACCACTGCAGAAAGCTCCCCCATCCCTCGCCCCGCTGCGGTGGCCCTCGAGCTCTCCCGTGCTGGGGGCACGCAGGGGCTGTGGTGGTGGGTGCCCAGGACGGGTCGCAGCCCAGCAGTGAACGCAGTGCTGCCCACAGTTAGGAATTCCTAACAGTGGGATGGGCTGGGGCAGAGTCGCCATCAGACCTCATGGGCCAGTCATGTCCCCATATTCCTGGGAATTTGAGGCCAAGAGAGCTGTGTAATTTGCTCACACCTGAACCCTAACTTGGACCCTGATGTTCTGGTCAGACGGTGGTGGTGTCCGTACGCCACGCTAATGCTTCCGCATCCATGAAGTAGTGGTAGTTTGCAGATAAACCACTGCAGGTGACAGTGACACTAGCTTTACAGTTACAGCATGTAAACTGCCCCACTGAACTGCAGGTGCGATAGAGCCATGGTGCTGGGGCCCGGTGGGCTGGTTTGAGTCCTCTGCCTCCCAGCCCGGCACACCCTCCGCAGGAGCCCCGAGCTCCCAGCCAGGCCTGCTCCCCATGCCGGGTGCACACGTGCCCAGGCCAGGAGGCCTCTAGGTCTTCAATGCGAGGCCCCTTTCCTGCCTGCAGCCTCAACAGAGCCGGCCTAGAGGGTGGCCGGAGCAAAGCCCATGAGAGGCGGGGTGTCACCGTCGTCACAGGGCCATGGGCACGGCCACAGGCCGGCCTCTGCGTGGACTCTGCTTTGTGAGTTCATGGACTACTTTAAACTGTAAGAGGAAGACAGTTCTTGAAGGGGAACAGAAACTTTGCTGTCCTCTTAAATTCTTTTAGTGCCAGAAAAGGGATTTAATTGTAAGAAGGACTCTCTGTTGTCGATGTCACAGACAGAATGTGTTTTAATTAGAGACTCGATAGAGGGTGTGGCAGGCTGATCTAGTCCTGGCGGAACCAGCACTCCCCACTCCAGACGATGCAGTTAACTGCTTCAAAATGAGGGGGGTGTTTCATACATATTTCCCCAAGTTCATTTTTACAGAATTTTGGCCCGAGAAGACTGAAGAGATTTCCTCCTGCCCTTTCTAGATGCTCTTTCTTTTGGCTTTTAATTTAAAAAAATAACACTGTCACTAGTGTTTTGTTACGAGTGTGAATCTTCTGCCTTCCTTGCTGCCAGATGTCAGTTAGGTGGGCCTTTGTCCCTCCTTTCTCACATGTGACACTGCCACCCACGACGGTGTCCCCAGCTTTGGCCCCGTGTGTGCGGGGCCAGCCCCCTCCTCTCGCCCTTCACCGGGCTGGGCTCCTCTCCAGCCCGTCCACTTCTGTGCGGATGTCCCATTCCTGACCACAGCGCTCACCACAGATAGGGTTTGGGGGCCTTTTTTAAAAAACCTTTTATTGCGGTGTAATATACAAACCAAAACACCCCACCTCTGCCGTGTAAGCGAAAAACTCCACCCTGTTCACAGGCTGAACAGTGCCCAATCAGCGAGGGCTCCTCGTGGCTCCCTGCCCCACCCCGGCCCCGAGCTCTCCTGCAGTCCCTGCACCCCCACCCCCACCCTGCCCTGCACACCCTGGGGTGCTGGGGTGTGCACTGAGGTGCAGGCCTCACCAAGGGGTCGAGGAGCTCCTGCACCCTACTCTCACTCTGAGGCTGCAGGGAGAGAGGGGAGGGTCCCTTGGTAGGTTCCTGTCCCTAAGGAAGGCTGGCCATGGCCACGTCACTAGGCGTCGAGGGTCCAAGTCGGCCACTGAGCTTTTCTTCAGCACCAGTGCAGCCCCCATGGTCCAAGCAGCGGCTCAGGGCAGCCTGCCCCCCTGCTGGTCTGCCTGCTCCAGTGTGGCCCCCTTGGTCTGAGCAGCGGCTCGGGGC